AGCTCCTTTTATTGCACCTCAGTTAACTGTGCTTCTCAGACACTGCATTGTTTTACAAATAGAAAGTGTGTGGCCATCCTGCATTGACCAAGTCTATTGGTACCATTTTTCCAACAGCGTGTGCTCACTTTGGGTCTCTCTGTCATGTTTTGGTAATTCTTTTAATATTTCAGATTTTTTCATAAGGCTATTATACACTAAATAGACTATGGTAGGTGGTGTAGTGTCTAAGGCACTTGACTGCTAACCAGAAGGCTGATGGTTCAAACCCACCAGCCACTCCTCGGAAGGAAGGTCGGGCAATCTACTTCCGTAGTGATACAGGCTCGGAAACCCAAGGAGGGGTCACTATGAGTCAGATCTGACTTCACAGCAGTGGTTCATTTGTTCATTCATTATGGTGTAAATATGACTTTTATTTGCACTGGGAAACCAACAAATTCATGTGACTCACTTTTATTGCAATATTTGCTTTATTGGGATGGTCTGGAACTGAACCCATGATATCTCAGAGGTATGCCTGTACAGAATGGGGGAAATTAATTTATTCCACAAATATTTGTGGTTGTGGCCAGCTATGGATCAATCATTGTTCTGGGGACTAGGGGTATAGGAATGAACAAGTCAGACAGAAAGCTTCTGGTATTAGGGTTTCCTTTGGGGAGGACAGGGCTTTGGTAGAGCGTGGGAAAATGGCCTGGTGGTTTCAACTTAAAATTCTAATGCAAGCTTTCTCAACTTTGGCACAGTTGTGGGGATGTCCTATGCATTGTGGGATGTCTATCCACTAGATACCAATAACAACCTCCCTACCCTTCATGGCTGTGACAACCAGAATGTCCCAAGCAGCACCGAGTGAAGGGGATGGGTGGGAATGGGAACTTGCCCTGGCTGAGAACCTGGACTTTAGTGTAATTTCTCTTGGTGGCAGGTAAGGAAGTGAAGAGTCTGCCCTGCATCTGAGCTGGGAGGCCCTCATCTCTCTTCTGAACTGAGCACTGCTCTTTTAGAGATGAAATTGGCAAGTGTCAGGTGACCAGAATGGTGGAAAGGACTGGAAACCATCTCCTCTGAAAAGCAGCTAAAGCTGCTTTTTAGCTAGGAGTGTGGATAATCCCCTGGGGGTACCTTGTTATCCGAAAGGTGGTTAGTCATACCGAAGTGGGATTCTAGGGTCTGTACTATCTTGAGGCAGTAGAACCAGGTCCTGGAAGTAGAGACTACAAGGAGCCAATGCTCTGTAAGTAGCAGAAGAGCCAATGCTCTAAGGGGGCGATGTTGAAGAGTCTTCAAGGAATCGGTGGTGGTGGGGGCTTGTGTGTCAGGTGGTTCAGATGTCCCCTCAGGGTCCCCTCCTCTTTCCCATCTCTGGCAGTGGGCGGGAGGGGGCCGGGACGTTTCCAGCCCCAGCTCCAGTCTGTGATGAATGGGAAGGTTTGTTGCTGGGTACCTCCTGACATCCTGAGCCCATTCACCCTGAAAATGGTGCTGTTTGGGTTACACTGGCCTCAGAGTGACCTGAGGGGCCACTGAGGGAAACCTCTGAGCCAAATGTGGGCAGAGATCAGTGCCTCAAATCTCCTCTGCAGTGTGGCTAAGACCCAGCTGGACAGGTAAAGACTTTTACTGACCGTTGGCGGTTACTCATTGCTTTTGAGTCAATTCCAACTCATAGTGACCCTACAGGACAGAGGAGAACTGCCCCATGGGGTTTTCAAGGCTGTAAATCTTTATGGAAGCAGACTACCTCATCCTTCTCCCATGGAGCTGCTGGTGGGTTAGAACTGCCAACCTTTCAGTTAGCAGCTGAACATTTTAACCACTGTGCCACTAGAGCTCCAGCTTTGGAGCGTAAGGATTGCAAATTACAAAGTACGAAGGCACTTACAACTAACTGTTAAGAAAATAAAAAAGGACTGTCCTTGAAGCCTGAGGGACTGACGGAATTTCTGTTCTCCCCTCTCTTGCTCCAGTCAGAAAGGGACAAAAAGTCCCCTTCCCCACTGGCCCAAGTGCCTCCAGTCCTTTTCCTAGCAATCCCTCACCTGTCCGACTTGCTGTGTTCAGCTCAGGTCGGCCTTCTCCCTGGGTAATTGACCACTTGAATGTCCTCAGCGTCTAGGAGGCACCCTCCCTCCCCACTCTGTCTGTCCCTTTACCTTGGGACAGCCCAGCAAACCGCCTCAGTTCCATCAGTACGTGCAGTGAAGTCGGGCTGTTCAGTTTGAAGTGAGTCCTCCTATGGCCCTTCAGCTCCCCAGCCTCCCCACTCTGGGGTAGGGCGTCTTTGCCACTGGCCAGCCTCCTCCGCCAGGCTCCTTTGACTTGTCTTTGAATAAGAATACAAAGGCATGCACTTCCTACAAACACCCTTCAGAGCCTGGACTGGCGCAAGCCCTATGAAGAAAAAGAAAGTCTTTTTCATAGGGGCAAGAGAACCTGCGAAGAGGGCCCCTCTGGCCCCTCTGAGGACAGCCTCTTTGTCACTCGGCAGATTGGTCTCAAACCTCTCTTTTCAAGAGTAGGCTTCACCTTCTCATCACCAAAAGGTCCAGTAAAGTGGGCCTTAGAAGTCAGGGCCAGCAGACCCAGTGCCGAGTGTCCACAATACTTTTAGAGGCCCACGAGAAATTCTAATTTTTTTTTTTTTTTAAATCAGAAGGGAAAAGGGAACTTTTAGTTTAGAGAAAAGGACTTAATATATAATAGTTACATATTTGCCTTTATACCAACACAGTTATAAAGTATAATTTTTAGAAAAAAAAGTTTTTTGAATGGAGGAAGGGACCCATGAAAGCCAAGGTGCGTCAGTCACATCAAAGTCTGGTGGTGACCTCGTCAACTCTTCTGTCCCAAACATCACAATGATTTGCAGAAACATGGAAAGTAGGGATTTGTTTTTATTTTATTTTGAAAATGTCTCCATTCAAGGCTTCAGCAACTCCCAGGACCAGTTTCTTAGGCAGTGTTTGAGTTTGGAATAAGAGTGCTGCTTTCTTCAAGTTCATAGCCTAGGCTGGGGTCCAGCCCTGGGATGGTGACAGGGCTGTGTGTGCGCCAGAGTGCACCTCCCTCTTCCAGAGCTGCCCTTGGGGGCTAGGCTTCCCACCATTACATCAGGAGGGAGTTTTCAACAGCCCATGCCTGCCAGCGCTGGACTGGGCTGCCTGGGTTACTGGAGGTGTTGGAGCATATCTCTCTGCTGAGGGGTTTTCTTTCTGCTCCTGGTGGACTTGGACTTGCCAAACTCAGAGACACTAGGATTCTGTGAATATGAGAAATAGAACTATGCCCCAATTATAATTAGGATGCAACCTCATGCTACAGGAGAGAAAAATAAGATAGAAAAAGAAAGCATACAATATATTCCAAAATCAAATGCAAATCATGTTTTCCTTGCTCAGTGATTTGACTTCCGGGTGACACTGATCTCTCTTAGGGGCGCAATTTAGAGAAAGTTCAAACAAACAGCCACAAACGACCGCAGTGCAGTGTTCTTTGCCTCCCCACTTATTGCGGGAACCTTGGACTTTGGACAGGTCTCTGGACTGTTCTGTACTTTGCAAGGGCTCACTCCGCACTCCTTCCACCAGCTTTAGTGTGGGATGCTGGCTCCTGGAGCAGAGATCTGGAAGATAAGCCACCAGCTCCATGGCCTGTGAAGGCAAGCCAGAAAACACTGTGTCCTGTAATCAGTGGCGAGGTTCTGCCTGGGGTTGTAGGCCCAGTGCTGGGGAGGAGAAGGAGCTGGGCCAATCTACAGCCCCCCGGGAGGATGGAGACCTCCTGGACCTCAGAGTGGGAAGAGTGGGTGATGGACTTCCGTGGTCCTTGGAGAAGTCCCAGCATGGTGCAGACCATTAACGTGCTGGGCTGTTAACTGAACGGCTGGAGGCTGGAGGCCATCCAGAGCTGCTTCCGAAGAAAGGTGCAGGGAGCACTCTCTGCTCTGACGCATGGGGTGGCCACGAGTCGGAGTGGTCCTGTCAGCCACTGTTTTGCTTTGCTTTGCTTTGTTACTGGTGGTCCCTGAGGCCTCCCTGTGACTGAGCCAAAGGCAGCCTTTCTTAGGGAAGTCTAGCCTCACATTGACCCTGCTCCTGACTCGACCAAGTCCACAGACTCAGTTGGCCCACCTCTCAGAGAAACAGCCCCATTGAGGGGCAGCCCTTCCCTCTGTTCTGGCCGAGAAGTTTCCCCTGGCACGAGCACCATGGGCTGGACAGAGATGTGATAGTGGAGGCACATTGAACTCCGTGACTTAGGAAACCACGTGAATAAACAGACCGGAATGCTAACAGTGGTTGCCTTTGGGTAATGGGACTGTTTGTGTGTTTTTTCTCTTTTGTATTTCTGTGTGTGTGTGCTAATTTTATCTGTAACAAACATTTACTATTTTGGAATGGGGAGAAAGAACTTAAAAAAAAGGAAGGGCGAATGTCTCACGTATTATGGTATTCTAAACAAAGATTCGTATTTACTGAAGAGAGCCAGGGAATGGATATTGAAGTGACTATTCCTTTGCAGACAACTGTCACACAGTGTTCCCTCTAAGTGAGTGGCTATGGCCTGGCTGGTGACAGGTAGAACTCCTTAGATCTTAGAGAGATAGGTTAGTAGTAATATACTTGTGAATAATTATAAAACAAACATTCAGGAACACATTCAGGCCTTTTCCCTAGTGCCTTACCTCTGTTTCACTCACACAACCACCCTGGGAGGCAGCCACTGTTGTTATTATGTCCATGGTACACAACAGAAGACCTAGACGCTAGATAGTAAGTAGCAGAGTGGGGATTTGAACCTAGGCAACAACTTGGTTCCAGAGCCTCTTGTAGGAGCAGGATCTGGATTAGAGCCTGAAAGGCAGAAAGGGCAGGCCACCCAAGAGGCTGTTGGTGCTGAGTTGTGGGCTGGTTTGGGTGGGTTTTGACCATAGTGTGGCCAGGGAGATGGTCTGGAAGCAGCCTGGGAACAGTGCAGTCTTGTTCCTCCTGCAGTGTACTGGACATCTTCCCCACCGTCGTGGCCCTGGCCCAGGCCAGCCTGCCCCCGGACCGGCACTTCGACGGGCTAGACATCTCTGAGGTGCTCTTTGGCCAGCTGCAGACTGGGCACAGGGTAAGTGGGAAGGAGATTCTGCCTGTCCGGGCCCTTCAGCAGGTGGCAGCTGCCTCTCCCTCAGGTCCAGCTGCCTGGGTGCAGACAGACACGGCTCTCCAAAGGTACTGCCCGTGGCTGGCTCAAACCCATCTTATGCAGCCCCAAAGGGGGACTCCTTTGAGATGGACCTCCTTTCCCTCTCCCCTCCTCCAGTTCCCCTAGACAGGATCCAGTTTGTCCTTCCAGAGTTATACTGAACAGTTTGGCTCAAGGTGGGTTTTTCCCTAGAAAGTATGATGGCGTTTTTCACATGTATTTCAGTTTCTACACAGAGGAAGTGTCCAGTACAGTTTTGTTGGCTGAGATGGCTAACGAGTGTCTGAGATGTTTATTGTGGGACTCCCCCATTAGAATGTGTTTGTATTGGAGTCCTGACCCCTTTTACTGTTTGGAACGGAGTTTTCTTTGTTTCCTCAACGAGGCCCTCTCAGTGTAAGGTGTGCCCTAAACCTAACCACTTTTGAGTCCGAAAGAGCAGATTAGACCCGAGTCCAGCAAACACAGAGGGAGGAAGACTGATGCCACATGAAGATGGCCAAGACATCGAGGTGGAACCTCAGACGCTAAAGGAGAGGAGGGCCTTCCCCTGAGGCCACAGCCAGAGCCTTCCTGGAGCTAGTGCGCTGAATGGACTTGGAGCCTCCTGAACTGTGAGAAAATACACTTCTGTTCTTGAAGCCACTCACTCGTGTATCTGTTGCAGCAGCACTGGGAGACTCTGACAGGATGGAAGCTTCCGGAGGGCAGGGACCCAGCGGTCAGGCTCACCACTGAGTTATCAGAGCACTAACGTGGTGCCTGGCATCCAGCCAGAATCCGGTCACTGCCGATTGCATGAACGAATGAATGAGTGAATGCATGCCTTCCCCGACGGCAGGACGGCAGGGTCTCCACGCCTGCAGCCTCCTCCTGACCCAGCAGCCCCCGGCACCAGCTCTGGGCTTCCGGTTCCTGGTTCCCAGCATCGGCTCCTTCCGCGTCCCCGCGCCGTGCGCTCTGAAGCACTTGGTGGCAGCGAGAGCCAGGAAATGTCAGGCCCGCTGGCCTTTCCCTGTCATTTCTGTGTGTTTTCCTTTCACCGAAAGGAAGAGGAGGCGGGAGGAGGGAAGGATGCCGGAGGAACACAGAGCCCCTTTACCGGCCCTTGGAGCACGCAGCGCCTCGCCTCGGTGAGGGACCCGCACATCAAAGGTCTATTTATATCTGTCCCGAGGGCCACCTGGAAGTGACTCAGATGCCGCTCCTGTGGCCTGTGGCTGCCCTCCTCCACCCGCCCCCAGGCAGCCCGGGAACATTAACGTCTTTTTTAGGGGTTGTCCGCCTGCACCTGAAATTTCCTCCAAAGAAGCCCTGGTTCTGCCCAGAGTCTCTGGCCCTCCAGGTCGGCGCCCCCCACGGCTGGCCCTTGTCCCGGGCACTTCAGCAGGAAGGTGGTTTCCGCCTTCAGCCTGGAAGTTGGCAGCGTGTGACCCTGGGGGGTTAGCTAAGACGTCAGTGGAGAGGTGTCCGGGAGTGTTCATTACTGTGGCTAATAGGATAATCGGGGTCATCAGGAAGGGCTTCAAGGCCTGCGGTCTCCTTGACGTGCTGGGCTTGCCTGTGGAAGCCAGCTCCTCCGCGGTCTCACTTCCGTTCTCAGCAGAGCCAGGTACCCACTGCAGCTTTTTGCCGACTCACGACGCCCCAGCCTAGGGCTCAGGGCTGCTGGTCTAGTGCCAAACAGGCTTTGGCCCAACAGCCAGGTGAGAGAACCCTACAAGCCACAACACCGTGTGGGGTTTTTGCGGGGCGAGTCATGGGTGGTAACGTGGCTGCCGCTGTTCTAATGTGCTCCCTAAGCACAACCCCTGTTCCAGAAGGAAACGGCCACAACTTACTGCCTGCTAGAAACTGCTGATGGTCTTCAAGGGTGAAGGTGCTGTGTGCTGGTCCCTGGGGGCCACATCGTGCCTCTCGGAGCCCTGGGTGTCTGCACATGAGGTGCTCTGGGGTTTGCAGACAACATCAGTAGCTGGTTGCCCTGAACTGGGTTCTGCCTTCTCTGGTCGGTGCAGAGTAATAGGGCCAGAGAGACCAGTGTAGAGTCTCAGAATCCTAATGATTATGGGGAAGGCCAGCAGGTCAAAGTACAAGTGATTACATATTACATATTATTTAATTACTGTATGATAGTGAATCTTTTTTTGTGTGCATACCCACGTATATACAGTATGTTATTATCAGTTGCTGTCCAGTTGATTTCAATTCATGGTGACCTCATTCGTGTCAGAGACCTGTGCTCCTAGGGTTGTCAGTGGGTGATATTCAGAAGACAGTCACAGGCCTTTCTTCATAAGGGCCTCTGGGGGGATTCACGCTGTCAGTCTTCTGGTTACCTGATAATGCACCACACAAGGACTCCATATGTGTATGTGTGTGTGCATATGTATGTATATAGTGTACATATGTACATGTACAGACACACATACATGCTTCCAAAACCAAACCCACTACCATCGAGTTGATTCCAACGCATAGTGACACGTGTTTACGTATATATATTTTTTAATAAACGTAATTTAATTGTGTTTGCCCTCAGATATGTTCTGTGCTTACAAAGATTCCATTGTGGGCTGAAACTGTTCCAGTTTCCAGAAGTTTACCGTAGACATTCATCAGTTCAAAACCACATGCAAATACTTTGCAGCAATTGGGTTCTTCCCTACTTTGCAAGCTAAGTAACCGAGAACTGAAGGTTGAAGAGATGAATACCTAAAGCCACATACCTTCTGGCCACTTGCCTAGGCCCTACCCTGACAGGTGTAGTCGCAAATAGTCACTACCTTCTTCTTCATCCTCTGGGGACAAACCAACAGCAGCCGACACCATGCCCCATATTTTTACATCTACTGCACCTGCTGATCATCATAGGTTTGTGCCCAAGAGTGAGGGCAACTGCAGGGAGAGAGATGAGAGCAGGGAAGGGGCAGACCACAGTCCAGAACCACGTATCCCTGTGCTGCAGTGAGTGATTTCATATGACTCTTCTCTGGTGGCGTAGTGCCTAAGGCATCTGGCTGCTAACCAGAAGGCTGGCAGTTAAAACCCACCAGCCACTCCTTGGGAGGAAGACTGGGCAATCTACTTCCGTAGAGATACCACCTTGGAAAGCCAAAAAGGGGTCACTGTGAGTTGGAATTGACTCAATGGCAGTGAGTTTGAGCCGTGGTCTTTGTCATCTGATGACTGGGTGAGACTATGCAAGTGTGAGGTGCTTGTGGCCCATCAAGGGGACTGAACAGCTTGCTAATAATGTAAATAAGGTACATGGCACCCTTGTGGGGGTGGGGCCCTGCAAATAAGGTGTATAAAGCCCTAATGTGGGGATTGGTCAGTTTTGCCATCTGCTGGGCTTAAAATGAGCCATCCCAGAGGCAGGAAAAGAGAGATGCCACGTCTGTCAAGAGGGAGAAGGGAAGCCAGGAGCGTAGCGTGTCCTTGGAGCCAAGATCCCTGCATTGGACTTTTCTGGCAGAGAGATGGCAGAGAGACAGCAAGCAGTGGCAGAGGCAATAGAACCAAGAGACCGGTATGAGGTGGAGGTGCAGGCTTGCCAGCCCGTGGAGTGAGAATGTGAGTGCCTTTGGGTAGAAGGCTTGCTATTGGTTGGGGGTGCACCTATCAGCAGAGTTAAAAGAGCTTCATAACACTTACCTGAGCAGGGCCTCTAGAGGCCAGGCCAAGAGGCCAAGGGCCAAAGAGAAGCATGCCTGTGGCATGGCTGAGAAGAAGCTGTCTTGATTGAAGAACTGTTTCCTGAGTTATTTCTAGTCCTAAATTGTAACCTGTTACTTCTCTAATAAACCCCATAATCATGAGTGTTGTCTGTGAGTCCTGTGAGTCCTGTGTGGCCATTGCAATGAATTATCAAACCCAGCAGAGAAGTAGAGAGTGCTATGGGAGGGACAGTTGGTTTCAGAATCAGTAAGAAGGTTAGAGGCTGGCAGCATGGCTGACTTCCGCCTCATAGGAATCAGCCTTGGGCAGGTGCTGATGGTGATTCTTTCTCCTCCTCAGTGAAGTAACAGTCTGAAGACGCCACCCCCACACCCTTTCTGCAATCCCTGTTTGTGTTTTTCTGACTCCCAGATGGAAGCTGGAGGTTGTAATGTCACCAGGTAATCAAGTCCTATCTTACTTAGCTCCAGGTTAGTATGTCCAGGTCCACAAACTGTCAACAAACTGGAAGGTCTCCCTAAAGGCTCTGGAAGGCTTCCATAGTGGCTCCGTATCTGACCAGCCCAACCCAGCCTGAGGTTGCTGTGGGTCAGAAAACATTTGGTGAACCTCTGAGACCATTTGCGAAGGAGAGAGCCCCTGGAGCACCAATCACTTCTCTTACGGAGGCCCCTAGTGGTGGAAGACGTAGTTAGGAGTGGCTGCCAAAGGACTGACCACATTATCCCCCCTTTTGGTAACCAGGGGCTGCACATCTCTGCCTGGTGGGGTTGAGGAGCCCACCTTCTGGAGATGACATGCCATAAGCACCAGCCTCCAGAATCTAACGCACGATCACTTATACACTTACACACACACACACACACACACCACAATAAAACAAAGCAAGTGCACAGATAAGGGGGGCAACCAAGAAAACACAACATGTTTGCAGAATGTAAGGTCATCTTTGAAATTCCAACCAGGCGTCTGGAGAGGAAATGTCTTCAGCTTGGATTCACGTATAAATTTGCCAACGTCCTTCCTATGTTGATATAAACAAGCAAACCATAATCAGTTCCGTCTGCTTCAAGGGAAAAAAAAAAGACATATAGGACGTTTCCAAAACCCGTCTACGTTTCTGAGAACAAGCTCTCCCACAGACTTCATCCTCTTGGATTGTGGAAGTTGCCTCTGGTAACGCTGAATAAATATGCTAAACAAAGCAGCCCACCCTTGTGGAATTTCTGTTGCTGAGACGCTAATAGCAATTCCCTTGAACCTGCAAACCTTGACACTCATCTTCTGGAAGTCTTAGTGCATCATAGATCATTTGACAATAGGTCTTCCAAGTCTCAGGCTTCCTGCCTTCCCGTGAAGGAAACAACAGCCTCGTGCAGGGAGAGGCGTGGCTTTCCTTGAGGACAGAAGAAATGAGGGCTTGGGAGTTCCGCAGCCTTTCCTGTTTGGATGGAGCCTCTGTCATCACGCTCGCCCTGGGTACAGGCTACGCACAGGGACTGTCACGACAGCTCCAAAGGCAGCAGGTGTGGGCGATGCCCCACCCTCGGCGGTATCCTCTCAGAACTGTGAAAGTTGGGGGACAGCTGTTCACTACTGCAACAGATGTTTCTCATTTTTTTTTTTTTTTTTTAGCTCCATGGAAACTTTGAATCACGTAAGCGCCTTTCCAGTGATCTGTACGGTCACAATGTATCCCAGGGCGTTCGAGCTCCCAGCCCAAACCCACCAACCTACCAGGAACACTCGTCATTTTTTGTCTGCCAGATCCTTCCCTTGGGAGCCCGGAATGGGTGTGTCCGTTCTTTGGGGGTAACTCTTTCATCTGTGACCTGACGAGAAAGGATTTCCTTCCTTCCGTCAAGGTGGGGGGATCTCCATTTAGAGGATGGGCTGTGCTCTGTTCCCAAGATGTTTTTCCCTTCAAGTTCCCAAAACGGATATCACACTGAGCTGCCCTTTAAGTGTGTCTTTTTATGCCATCCTTGCTCAAGTGTCAGAAAATCACCTTGATCCAGGAGGTCTGAGGGTCACCCGCATCAGGATCCTTGGGAATGTTTGTTGCATGTAGGTTGCCAGGCCCATCCTGAACTTCTGGAATTAGACACTTTGAGGGGCGGGGCCAGATGGGGCTGGCCTCACAGGCAGGTGAGCTGTGAGCTCACCCATAGCAGGGCCCGTGACTGCTCTAGAGGTCGGCCATGGCTGCCCTGGGGCCCCAGGTGCGAACAGTTTGGACCCAACGACTAACCAGAAGGTTGGTGAACCCACCCAGCGGCACCATGGAAGAAAGGCCCGCAAGCTGCTTCTGCGGATTCAGCCAAGGAAACCCTCTGGGGCAGTTGTGCTCTGTCACATGGAGTCACCATGAGTCAGAATTGACAGCAGCGCATTTGGTTTGTGGATGACTGGCTTGAAATTCTTAATTTTTAAACAAGTTACCCTGCATTTGCATTTTACACCAACCCAAACCCAAAACCCACTGCCATCGAGTCAATTCCAACTCATAGGACGCCACAGAACAGAGTAGAACTGCCCCATAGTGTTTCCAAGGCTGTAAATCATGACAGAAGCAGACTGCCTTACCTTTCACCCATGGAGTGGCTGGTGAGTTTGAACTGCTGACTTTTTGGTTAGGAGCTGAATGCGTTTCCCACTGTGCCACCAGAGCTCTTTTCATTTTATGCTGGGCCCTGCAAATCACATAGCCAGTTCTGGCCCAGGAATCTGGTCTCCTACCCAGTGAGGTCTTTCACCAGCTGGCCTGAACCACCTGTAACCTGCTCTGATGAATCAATCAACTAGCGAAAGAGCCATTTCACAGGCAGCCCACCCCCAGGCTGCTGGGAGCTGGCTTGTGTGGACACTAGGCCCATGTTGGTCAGTGAGTTTGGCAGGGGGGAATCGTGTGTGTGGTGGGGAGGGCAGACCATCACGCTGCTTCCCAGGGAGTGTCTGGCGTGGCTGTCCTATTAGTAAATCCTGCCATCCTTTCTCAGGTGCTGTTTCACCCCAACAGCGGGGCAGCGGGAGAGTACGGAGCCCTGCAGACGGTGCGCCTGGAGCAGTACAAGGCCTTCTTCATCACTGGTGAGTGCGAGCCCTGCAGCTCTGCCTCCCGCCTGCACTGTGGCCCTGTCCCCTGGAGTCTCTTCCCTCTGAGCCGGTTGGGGCTGGCCTCCCTCTCGGAGTTCTCCGCACCTCTGAAGGTGCAGCTGCAAACCCTAGGCCTGGCAGAGGGCCCAGCACTGGCCCTCTGCGCCCACAAATACGCAAACGAGGTCTTTCTACCATTGAGTGGCGTTTCCAAGCCCGCGCAGAGCTGGTTCAGCACATTTCTCTTGCCCCTCCTGCCATGATACAGGCTTCTTTCCGCTGTCATGCTTGAAGTGCCCCTGTGGCTGAACATTAAATGGGGGCTGAGAGCTGTCTTAAAGTTCAGTTTACTTAACAATAGACTGTTTCCGAAAATAGACTTTAGAGGTGAGGTCTACTTAGCAAACCGACAGAAGTCCCTCTGCTTCTTGGTTCACTCAGGGACCCTTCCATGTGCATTTTAGAAACATGACACTGGGTCAGAGTGACTGTCAGCATCCTCCCATGGCTTCTCGCTGCTGACTGAACTCACTCTTGATCCTGGGTCTTTGGACCTTTCTAGCCTTATTTCTCTAGCAGCCTTGCCCCACCTTCCTTGGCCTCCACGTTAAAACCCCTTTCAGCGTGAAAGGCCCCAAATCAAAGGTCACTTTGCTCATGAAATTTCTTCTCATGTTTCCAGCTGGCTAGGACTTCTCCCTCTTCTGATGGGAGGAAGAATTCTGGTATTTATCACATTCTGCCATACACAGCCATCCCTCGTTTCAGTACACTTCAATTTATTGCCCTCCACAGATGCTGGGTTTTTCACACACTGAAGGCTTGTAGCAGCCCTGCTCGTGCAAATGTGTTGGTGCCATTTTTCAAACAGGATGTGCTCCCTTCTAGGTCACATTTTGGGGATTCTCACAACATTTCAACCTTTTTCATGATGCCATTGGCCGCTTACTAAACCCAAACCCAAATCAAACCACTCACTGCCTTTGAGTCGATTCAGAAGTAGATTGTCCAGTCTTCCTTCCGTGGAGTGGCTGGTGGGTCTGCACTGCCAGCCTTCTGGTTAGCAGTCAAATGCCTTAGGCACTACGCCACCAGAGCTCCTAATTAGAGTATGGTATAGTGTCAAGATAACTTTTCTGTGCACACGTAACATGCTTTACTGTAATACTGGCTTTATTGTGGGGTCTGGAGCCGAACCCGCAATGTCTCCAAGGTCTGTCCGTCTGTTGTTAGATGCCATTTACTTGGCTCTGACTCATGGCGACTCACATGTATCAGTGCATATTTCATTTCCCTGCTAATTTGAAGCTCTTTAAACTCAGAGCTCCTTAAGCTCTTTAATCTTTGTTGTTCTGAAGTGTCTGACATCTTCACCTACTAGGGACCCAAAACTTAATTTTAATGAATGAAAACCACAAATAAAAAACAGAACAAAGTCAGGAATCCAATGTGGATTCTGATTTGCTTCCATTATTTAAAGTAAGAGCTTTTCAAAAAGTTATATAAGAAGGAAAAAAAAATTATTTTCCCTGAGAATAAATCAAGAATCCCAAAGAAAAATGGCATAAGAACACATGCTGTGAGTTCACACCATGAGGAGGTGAAAAATGTCACAGGAATCAATTTCTCCAAAACCTAAAATGCAAACCAGCAAGATATTTATTACGCTTTCAGATGAAGGGTTTCTAGATTAGTGTCCATACATTACATTATCTAAGAGGTATGGGATCTCCAGGTTGTGTTAATTTCAGAAGTGCTAACCCTGCCAGAAGCCCTGGCTGCCACAGGGTTGGGATCATAAATGTTCCTATGAAGTAATAGGACTGTTTAGAATGATCGCAATCAGACAGGAATGAAAATACCCAGGGGAGGGCTGTTCTGCAGAGTCGTGGGACTCCCAGGAGAGTCAGGCTGTAGACGGAGCAGATGAAAATTCCTAACGGCAGGAAGTGGGGGTGTTCTGATTCCTCCCCTCCCACTTTTTAACATTAGCATCTTAATTATTTAAAACTGCTTTTAGATAAGCTAGATGACTTGATAGTAGGCGCTCTGGTGGCACTAGGGTTAAGGCATTGAACTGCTAAACAAAGGTCGGCAGTTTGAACCCAGCAGCTGCTCTGCAGGAGAAAGACTAGGCAGTGTTTCAGTAAAGATGTACAGGCTTGGAAACTCTATGGGGGTTGCTGTGAGTTGGAATCGGCTCGGTGGCAGTGGGTTTATATTAGAGGAAGATGGGTGTTGTTCACGAAGAGGACGTGATTTCATGGTCATAACGGTACCAGTCACACTAGTTGCTGTCGAGTTGATTCCGACTCACAGCGACCCCCCCGTGTGTCAGAGTCGTACTGGGCTCCGTAGGGTTTTCAAGGGCTGATTTTTTCAGAAGGAGATCAGTAGGCCTGTCTTCTGAGGTGCCTCTGGGTGGACTTGACCTGTCAGCCTTTGTGTTAACAGTCTAGTACTTTAATCGTTTGTACCGTTCATGAACTAGGAGTGGCCTTAAAAGAAACTAGACTGTTTTAAGCTAGACTGAATTAAGGTACCTTATTGTTTTTCCTTTTTAAAATAACTCAGAGAATACTTTACACACAGTGAAATGCACAGATCTAAAACATACAATTTGATGAATTTTTGTAAGTGTACATACCTATACTCTTAATGTTGTGAATTACATTGATGATTTTCAAATGTTAAACCAGCTTTGCATTCCTGGATAAACCCCACTTAGGCATGGCATATTATTCTTTTTCTACATTGCTGGATTTGATTTGCTTAGATTTTGTTTGAAATTTTTGCATCAATGTCCATGATATACTGTGTCTGTAATTTTCCTTTCTTGTAATGTCTGTGTCAGGATTTGGATCCGAGCTTTGCTGACCTCATAAAACAAGTTGGGAAGTGTTCTCCTCTCTTCTGTTTTCTACAACAGTTTGTGTATGATTGGTATTCTTTTTTTCTTAAATGTTTGATTGAATTTTCACCAGTGAAACTACATGGCCTGGAGATGTACTGATGGGACAGTTTTTTATTACAAATCTAATTCCTTTAATAGGTGTGGGCATTTCAGGTTTTCTGTTTTTTTCTTATAGTAGCTTTAATAAGTTGTGTTTTTAAAGAATTTGTCCATTTCATCTGAGTATTCATCAAATTACTGGCATAAAATTGTTCTGTTTCCTCATTATCCATCCCTTTAATTAATCTTTTCAAAGAATCAACTTTTGACTTTTTTTATGTCATTATTTTCTGCTTTTATTTCTATTATATCTTCCTTTATTTTCTTTGGGTTTCATATACCCTCTTTTTTTCTAGCTTTCTAAGGCAGAAATTTAGACAATTGCATTTAAACCTGTATTTCTAATATAAGCATTTATAGCTAAAACTTCCTTTTTAAGCACTGCTTTATCTGTATGTCAGAAATTCTGATGTTCTATTTCCATTGTCATTCATTTGGAAATATTTTTAAATTTCTGTTCTAATTTCTTCCTTGACCCATAGGTTATTTGGAAATGTGTTGTTTCATTTCTGAATTTTGGGGCCTCTCTTATTTTTGTAATTTTTAATTTAATTTTGTTGGAGTGTCTCCTAAATGCATTCAGTGATTTCCATTCTGTATTTGACATTTTAGTTCTAGAATTTCCAGTTGGTTCTTTTTTATAGTTTCCACATCTCTGCTGAGATTCCATATCTGTTCACTTATTGTGACCTGTTTTCGTCTAAGTCCTTGAACATATTTGTGGTAGCTTCTGCAGGTTCTTATCTCCTAATTCCAACATCTGGACCTTCCAAGTCAGTTTCTTTCTTGACATGGGTCACATTTTCCCGTTTCTTTGCACGTGTAGTAGCTTGTGTGTGTGCATGCATGCGTGTGTGTTTTAATTGTAAGCTGGACATTGTAGACGATACATTGTGGAGATTCTGGTTTCTGTTCTCTCACTCTGAAGAACATTGCTTTTTAGTTAAATTACTAGTTGATTCCCATGAACTTGTGGAGACTTGGTCTTGTAGTTTGTGAGGACTCACCTCTTTCAGATTGTGCCCTTGGGTAAATCCCACAGTCCTGGGACTCATCTTTCCTTGTAACATGGACCCTCTGGGGCTTCAGTGGAAAGTCTGAAGTGTGTACTAATAAGCCTGTCGGTTTAATGGGACTCATACTCTGAACTCTACTCTTCTGTAGAAGAGTTTCAGCCTCCGTTTCAGCCTCCCTGCTGCGGCTTTCTGATGCTCCGTGGGGTCTCCCTTGAGTGCACACAGTTCCGGCGTCAGTCAACAATTTGAAGGGCGTTTGTACACAGATTTGAGGGCTTCACCTCTATGTCTCCCTTCTTTCCAAGATTGCTCTCAATTTTTATCAACTGTGGTAGCCCTGAACTCTGTCCTCTGATACCTGAAGCAGAAGAGACCACAGTTCTCTGCTTGCATGCTGGACAGACTGGGCAGTGTACCAAGGGAAGCACCTTTTAAATTAAAGGTTTTTGTTCAAGGGTCAAATTCCTTCCAATTTTGGCATGGCTAGGAAACCCAAGGAGGGATCGCTGAGTTTAGAGTGACTCGGTGGCTGTTAGTTTAGTTTAGTTTTTTTTTTTTTTTTTAGGTTATTTTCTAGACATGAAGGAATTCCATATTTGAGGGCTACCCTTGGCTAAAGGAGCCATGGTGGCAGAAAGTTAAGCACTTGGCTGCTAACTGAAGGGTTGATGGTTGGAACCCAGTCAGAGGCTCCACGGGAGAAAGACCTGGTGATCTGTTCCGACAAAGATTACAGCCTAGAAAACTCTACAGGGCAGTTCTGCTCTGTTATTTGGGGTTGCTAAGAGTCGTAGTTGACTCAATAGCACAAAACAGCATCCTTTGCCTTAATTCCTCTTATTTATTCAGTTATATTCATTTCTATCAGACATCTTATACTTTTTATATGGAAAAGACAAAAAAAAAAAAGTCATCTGTATCATTAAGAGCCAAGGATGTGGCTATCACTCCAAACCTTGTTGTCGTCATTCTTCTTCTGGGGCTTCGAGGTGCTAATTCACACAAGACTCTCATCCTCAAACCCAATGTGAGATTACTCACTTGCCTTCTAGTGTAATTTACCAGGCTGAATTCTTTTCAGTAAAAAGTAAAATTTCCAAAAAATCAAATTTCCTTCCAAAGGACAGAGATTAAAGATACTTGAATGAACATTCTACTGGCTCTGAAGGCAAGTTCCAAGAAGTTCCAGAATCATTTTGGACCACAGGCACATCTCATTTCCCCAAGTAATGTCTGTGGCGAGGAGAGCAGCCCCTCAGATATTCAGGCCTGGCTGGGTGATGCAATTGGCAGCAGCCCCGGCTCCGCTCGTCACCACTTGTCTTCGTCTCTCAGGTGGGGCGAGAGCCTGTGATGGGAGCGTTGGACCCGAGCAGCGTCACGAGCGTCCGCTTGTTTTTAACCTCGAAGGTGATGCTGCGGAAGGTGTGCCTCTAGAGGAAGGTGGTACCGAATACCAGACCGTCCTGCCCGAGGTCAGAAGCGTTCTTGCAGATGTCCTTCAGGACATTTCTGATGACAACGTCTCCAGAGCAGATTACACACAGGATCCTTCAGTAACTCCCTGCTGTAATCCCTACCAAACTGCCTGCCGCTGCCCAAGCGTGTAACCCAAGGTTTTTCATGAGCAGGGACGTCGGGACGGTGGACGGACCAGCTCACTTCTACGCTTCAGTCTTCCCTTCTGTACAGTTACACCAGCCTCTGTCGGTTTGCCCCACTGTGGTGGCTTGTGTGTAGTTCTGAGGCTGGAAGCTATGGCACCGGTATTTCAAATCCCTGCAGGGTCACCTGTGGTGGACAGGTTTCAGCAGAGCTTCCAGACTCAGACAGACGAGGACGAAAGGTCTGGTGATCTACTTCTGAAAAGTAGCCAACCCCATGGATCACCGCAGAATATTGTCCACCGTGGAGCAGGAAGGCAGCACAGGTCCGGACGGCATCTGGGACAGCCGTGACAGCCAGATTCCAATCCTGACTCCGTGGCAACCAACAGCAGCTACATATGGTTTAACAACATGTCTCAGAATCTTGTTTGGAAGCCACCCTTTGCGTACTACGTTGTCCCTTCTCCATGCCAACTGTGCCCCGAGCCGGCTGGACACCAGCTGAACCGAGCTGGCCTGGAGCAGTCAGAATGAGCATTGGAAAGCACAGCGGCTCTGGAGTCAGACTCCTGTTCAAACCCCAGCCTTTGAACTTGGGCAGGTCAACCTCTCAGAGTTTTAGTTTCATTAGTAACTACCTTGCAAGCTGATGTTGAGAGTTAAATCAGGCAGGGAACGGACATGCCTGGCACGTTACCTGGCACAGACAGGTCGGCCCTCAATCCATTTTAGCGTCCTTGTTAGGGCCCCAGTTTCACCGGCCTTTTCAGCACTTACTTATCCTAAGTGGTGTCTAGGACCATGTGTCTCCATTGTTAGTATGTCCATAGATCACCTGGGTGTCCTGCATGTCTAGCACGCTGCTGGGAGGGAGGGATGGAAAGGATGCTTCGAGTAGCAGTGATCCAGACAGACAAAGTTGGATTTGTTTCTAGAGTTCTGTCCAATAATGGTGCTGGAAGACGAGCCTCCTAGGTTGGAAGGCACTCAGAACGCAGTGGCTGTAGCAATGGCCTTGAACATAACAGTGATCATGAAGTGGAGCAGGACGGGCCGCTTCCTTCTGCTGGAGGTCAGGAAGGTCGCCACGAGTCAGGGCAAACTGGGCGGCAGTGAACGGCAAGGAAAGCAGTTTCTGGGCATCAGAGAAAAGGTCACTGACCAGTCCACGCCCTCCCCCCTTTGAAAGGCCAGATGACTGTACTTTAGAAGTTTGTCTCCCTCTTCAGCCTTCAAAAGAATAAAAGAAAAATTCTTGAAAACTCAAAAATGCATTGCCATAATTTTATTATTAGTGTCCTACACGGGACTTAAAGGTAATACATGATTTATTCCAATCACTGCAAAAATACTTTGCCTGATTAAAATAGTCTCTTTTTATATACGTATGTAAGGTACAAGAAATACAATTCAAAGAGATTTTCCTATAAATATATTTTTACACGGCATACATTTAAAAAGGATGCCCTTTTTAATATAAAATTCTGGCTACATACTACTGATACTGTTAGCTTAGCATTTACACTACGGTTTGAACACATTTTAAAGAGCACACGTGCACAGTCTACCATGCCCGCTGGCCACCAGGGCCGAGGAGCGTTTGGTGAGCTTCACCGTGTCCTGCGGTCGGGCAGCGGTGCCACCTTTCTGCTCACACACTGCATGCCATTCTTCCACCTTGCCTTCTCCAAAACCACCTGACAGGGATGTCCTGATTCCTGCGTGTGCGGCTCATCATGACTGCTTCGTTTTGCCCTTCTGACTTCCACGGCACAAGATTATCTACCAAAATCAAAACAGAACGGCCTTACTCTTTCCGGGAAGAGGCTGTCAGAAAGGCTGTGTTACCAACAGATCTGACCACGGAGGGTCAGCAGGAAGAGGCAGGGCACCACGTGGCATGGCTTGTCCGTCTGTCCAGACAGACCACACTCACGGCTACAGAAAATCTATTAGGTGTAGGCTAGTATGGCATGGTTTCAGAAAATACTGACTATGGAGAAAATGTGTGGTTGTCTTTATATGTATGTGCGGTTTTGGGAAAAGGCTCATCTTAGTGTAAACACAGACTGCTAACTCGTTTTTAATAAAATCAGTAAACACCCTTGGTCCCAGCCCCCTTACTGTGGGTCGTAAGATTTAGATGATGCTCAGAAAACACGCAGACTTGTAAGGAAAGGCTGTTCCTGAAACAGAAGCTGCTCCCCTCCTGGAGATGGCCTCTTTCTAAAGTACCAGAAATGATCCATTCTCTTTGCTTTCCTTGTTCTTGCAGCAAAGTATGTCCCAAGGAGCTAAGAGTGATCATATGCAGGGAAGGGTCTGTGTTTTAAAAAGCTGGCTCATGGTAACCCAAGGCACCCTGGTGACACAGTGGTTAAAGCGCTTGGCCGCCAACCCAAAGGTCGGTGCTTTGAACCCACCAGCCACTCTGTGGGAGAAAAGACCTGGTGGTCTGCTCCCAGAAAGATGACAGCCTTAGAAACCCACTGGGGCAGTTCTGTCCTGTCCTGTAGGGTCGCTGTGAGTCACAGTTGACTTGATGGCACACGACAACAACAGGATAACCCGTGTTCTAAAGGCAAAGGCCCTGGTAGGATTCGTTGTATCTAAGCCCTGATGCGGATTATCCAGGAAGCCTGTGTTCGTATCTGCAAGTGATTTCAACCAAGCTGGGACTCCAGATTCCTTTAGCAGTCCTAGACATTTTTGAAGAGGGTGAGTAATCCTACACTAGTATTTGCAATAGGTGTGAATGCAGAATAAGGACACAAGTTTTTTTGCATCTCAAGGGGATGAGCTGAGAAGCTTGCCCTTCGGGGGGGGGAGCACTGCCTCTCTCCTCACCACCGATGCTATGGCTGGGAGGCAGGGCTGTGGCCTCTGGTCCTTTTGATGACCTCCACACACCAGCAGGGAGCTCTGGTGGCGTAGTACCTAAGGCACTTGACTGCTAACCAGAAGGCTGGCGGTTCAAACCCACCAGCCACTCCTCGGAAAGAAGGTTGGGCAATCTACTTCCATAGTGATACCGCCTCAGAAACCCAAGGAGGGGTCGCTATGAGTCAGGTCTGACTTGAGAGCATGTAACAACAACAATACACCAGCACCCAGCTCCACTCGTAGGGGCTGCCCAATGCTTGCTAATGTCTAGCGATCTTTCTGGAGTCCCTTGCTGGTCACCAGAAGGCTGGAGTTTCAAACCCACCCAGAGGCACTCGAAAAAAGGCCTGGCAGTCTGATTCTGAAAAGTGGAAGTCTTGAAAACTTGTGGCATGCAGCTCTCCCCTGCACACGTGGGCACCCCGTGAGTCGGAATCAACTCAGCGACAACTTTCAAAGCACATTCTAGGGACCCTGGTCCAGTGACCAGCAACCTGGCTGGCAGGAAGTAGTCTTCGTGTAAAACTAAAAATCCCTGAAGCAGCTTAGATCACCGTGCTCTCACTCAGTGCTCGAGAGGGAGCTAGGACCCGACGCCCATGCGGCTTCCTAGCCGTGTATCCACCTGCCAACAGGTGGCGGGAAAATGATTGGCACTAGTTTTTCAGCATAACAACAACAACAACAACAGTTCTTCAGCCTCTCTAGTTTCTTTTCCCCAGAACAAATGGTTTCCACAAGATGCCGATTCTTTCCATACAGGTTTTCTTTGGCGAGAATTCACTTTGTAAACACAGTATCCAAAGTGCCCTCATTCTGCAAATGTGAGCGTGTGTGAGGTTCGCTCGGATGGCAATTAAAACTGGAAGGGATCACTGCCACGCTTTAGAGCGGCCCCAGAGTTTCACGGAACCTGCTGAAGGGGACCTGACGGGCGTGGGGGGCACCAAGCCACAGCGCTGTGGGCTGGTCGCATTCCTCCCCACGGCTCTGACTTAGGGAGCCTGGGATCTTGGACGATGCCCCTTCAGCAAATAAGCACCAACTTCCAGGAACTTGGAGGTGCTCTTCATGGATCATTTGGGACTTAAGAACCCAAAGGTGATACTGGCTTATAGTTGGCAACAAGCCAACAGCCGTTGCGTTTGTCATGCACATTTTAAGTGCCACTGCTCCCCACCACTGAAAAATCAACTTCACTTGTTGGCAATGTATCTGGCAACCTGCCTAGGAAAAGCCAGCAATTAAAATCTCAGCCCCAAATGAAGCAGGGAAAACACAGCTCCCGCACCCCGTCACGCACAAACGCTGGGCTGGGGAAGGAGAGGGTCTCACCTAGTGCTTTTAGCCAAATATGCTTACTAAGTCGCCCCAAGGGCCTGTGGGAGAAAGAGGCAGGCCAAGCTCCAACCTTTTGCAAACGGAATCTCAACAACACAAAATAAAGACCGGGAGAGAACACCGCCTAGCAGGCCCTGAGGCAGCTGCTCCTCCCCGGCCCTGGAGGCTCGGCTCAGGGGCTCCACTCCCTACAAGGTGCAGGCCGACTGCAGGGCTTGTTCTCCAGGGGAGCTCACACAGGGACCTACACGTTGTTTCCAATGGGAGCCTGACGCATCAGAAGCTAAGGCGGCCTGGCTGCTGGCAGTCTCAGCCGCTGGAAGAAGCCAACCCGGAGCCCCCCAGGCCAGAACTGCTGGGGCAGGATGCTGGTGCGCAGCCTAAGTGCCCAGGAGAGCTCAGACACGTGGCCCCATGTGACCGTGAATGAGTGCTGCCGGCGCCTGCTGGACAGTCCTGCCCGAGAGCGGCTGGGAAGGGCAAGGCTGGGCGCACCTGGGGGGCAGCAGCTGGGCTCAGCGACCTGCGCACCCGGCCCAGCCCCGTGAAGCCTCACCTGCACCCGGAGGCAGCGTTCCACAAACGCACCCCGAGGAACCTCAGGAAAGAGGCCCGTTACCCAGGCCTGCGTCCCTAGGGTGGGCACAGTGCGTTACAGGAGCCAAAGTAAAGATTTCAGGCCTCAGGGTGTGAGAGGCCGACCCAGGGCTCCCTGAATTAGCACACGGTTATCCTAATGCTGTCGGGGTTTAGCATGATGCCTCATGGCTCGTCTGCAGGGTCTGAAGCACACAGGACGATCGCCCTCCTCTGGCTTTCTCAGTATTAGTGAAGAGGACTAGTCGTTATAGTTATAGACTGCCTAACAGGGAAAGCGACTTCGCCTCTCATGTGAGGGGACGCGTGCAGCCCGAGCTGCTCTTTTAAGAATTCCTAATGCTCACAGGGGGGAATTCATTCTCATCATCAAGACACACAGGTCCCGTCGCAAACTCGTGTTCAGGGATGACCTCTCCGCGGAGCGCCCCGCCGTCCTCAGAGTAACCTGGAACCAAGAACGAGAGAGGCCAGAAATGAAAGAAGGCATGCGTCCGCTCTTAGACATAACCCGGAGTGGGACATCAGAAACGAGGAGAATCAGAGACAGCCGGGAGGCCGTCACTGACTGTGAACTGTAGTGAATGGCCTTTGATGAGTCGAAATCCACCACCATTTGTGGCCCCAGAGCCTCTGAGTGGTGGGCAGGTGGGTCTCACACATCCTTCCACCCCAGATGCCTACAATTTTACACCTCTTTGGAATTCTCATGGAGTCAGTGGGGAAAGCTACTTGTTACAGGGATGATCACCTGGTGCTATGCCTGCCATCTTTAAGGACCCCAGTGTAAAGACTATTACTGTGGCTGTGGCTCCCTGAGTGGCACACATGGTTGGTGATCAACCACTAAGTACAGGGTTGGCGGTTTGACTCCCCCCAGTGCTGTTTGGAAGAAAGGCCTGGTGGTCTGTCTCCATAAGATGATGGGCACTGAAAACCCTACAGAGTGAAGTTCTATTCTGAAACACATGGGGTCACCAGGAGTTAGGATTGACTCGACAGCAAACCAAATCCAAACCTGCTGCCACTGAGTCACTTCTGACTCCTAGTGACCCTACAGGGCAGAGTAGAACTGCTCCATAGGGTTTCTAGGGTTATAATCTTTATGGAAACAGACTGCTTCATCTTTGTCCTGCAGAATAACTGGTAGGGTCAAGCCACTGACCTTTTGGTTAGCATCTGAGCGCTTTAACAACTGTGCCCACCACTAGGGCTCCCAACACGATAGCAACCGTTTTATTTTTTTGGACGCTGGTCTCAATTGTGTGGAAACAGCTCATCAAGGAGGCTGCTTCCTCCTGACGAAGGGCCTGTGGGCCCGGCACCCACTCACCTGGTGCTGTGGAGGTGGATGTGCTGGGTCTGGCTACAGTTGCTGCGTAAGACTGAGGTAATGAAGGTCGGAGGCCATTTTCTTTATTCTCGTCTGTTGTTCCTGAGCCCAGTAAACTAATTGCAGCAGTGGGGGGAGGGAGAAAGAAATCGTCATGACACATCCAGGACACCTCCCAGAGAACGTGCGTGGGGAAGCCCCTGCCTGGCTGCTCGAGTTTACATGAAGAGACCCGTCAGGACGCAGCTAGCTGACCTGCAGTTACCTGGGGGCAAACACTCAGCTGCTGTATCACCCAGTCTTCTTTAATACACAGAGATTGGTCCTCAGCTACTCTGGTGCCCCCAGCAAGGGCACTGAGACACGCTAATGAGGAGGGTCCTGTTGGGGGGGGGCGGCGGGTGGGCATTGTGTGGTGCCTTGTCCACAGCAGACGCGGTCACCCTGCACTTCGTCGCGGAAGTCGTGAGCACTTTTTGGTTCCATTCAGTAAACCTCTCGAGCACCCACAGTGCACTAGGACTGTACCAGGAGCCAAGCCGCACGGGAAGATGTGACACTGTTACTCATCGTGGCACTTCTCCAGAAGAGCAGGGTGTGCAGAGGGCACCTGAGGTGGGCCCACTGCAAAGCCAACGCCTACTAGCAGCCTACCACCCAGACACTGAGGACAAAGAAATAAAGAGCAAGAGCACTGAACTTGTCATTGTTCTCAGTGAAGAGACCACTCTGCAAATCCAGCTCTTAAGAGGCTGTCGTTCTGAAAGCTAGTATCTTCACCTGTGGGTCTTGATTAAGACGCATTCCCCACCGTCCTGAGGGTCGAGATTGTAGATGTAAAGGCATCCGTCGGACGAGGCAACCAACAGCCGTGGCAATTTTTGGATCCTAAGAACCAAGCAAAACATGAACGGTAGTTATGGCAGAGACAGATGAGCCGTCTCTGGGTTTCGGATTGTGTTCTGCCATAGAATCTACCTTAAGGATCACTTCTGGCCTTGAGCCTATGGCATTGTATGTGCACACTATTGTTGTTGTTGTTATGTGCCATCGAGTCAGACCCGACTCATAGCGACCCCTCCTGGGGTTTCCGAGGCAGCATCACTACGGAAGAAGATTGTCCCATCTTCCTTCCGAGGAGTGGCTGGTGGGTTTGAACCGCCAGCCTTCTGGTTAGCAGTCAAGTGCCTTAGGTACTAAGCTACCAGAGCTCCCGTGCACACTATTAGTCACTGAAAAGTTTAGTCACTAAGGAGATGCCATCATGTCCTCCGGAGTCCTTGGGGGTGCAGATGGCTAGTGTGCTCAGCTGCTAATCAGAGGCCAGAGGCTCAGTGTCGCCCAGAGGCACTCAGAAGAATGTCCTGGCGACCTGCTTGTGCACACCAGGCACCGAAGGGCCCAGAGAGCGCGGTTCTGCTCCGACCCACGGCAGCCGCTCGGGGGCGGCTCGTCTGCTTACCCAGCTAAGAAACCTTTCTGCCTCTCCAGTGACAGAAAGGGCAAGAAGACAAATGAAGCTCGTGTCTTTGCTGGGTTAGTTTCATTAAATTTTTTTAATGTTTGATAAAACATCCATTAACCCCACAGATATCTGAACCTAGACAATGGAACTAGAGACTGTTTCCCCCAATTATGTAAAAACAGGATTCAGAGTAAGACAGGGGTGTCCACACTCTCCACTTCTAATCAACACGGTACTGCAGGTTCTAGACCACAGCATCTTAGCCAAAGTCCCCTGCCCGGCCTCCCCTGCCCCTGAGAACACATGTTAAATGAGGCAGGAGGAGCTGCTGCATGGAGACTGCGGGTCGCAGGGCTTTGATTCTGTTCAAAACAGAATTGGCCCTTGCTCGGCTTCTTCTCTTTTTCACTGGGATTCTGTGCTTTGGGAAAATACTTATCAAAGAGCACACCTGTCAGAGAGGGCAGTGCTGTACGTACGTGGCCAGGGCACAGATGTTCCTCTGCCCGGAGAAGCTCAGACGCCCGGTGGCGAAAGCCCTGTCCTGATTCATCATGTCTGACACTTGGGTGGGGAGGTAGTTGGTAGCAGCCATGAACACCTTTCCCATGTAGCCGCTCCAGGTTGCTGGCTCTTCTGGGCGGCTGGGGGACAACGAACAGGTGATGCTGGCACCGTGCAGCTGGCACCGCAGGTCCCCACATGTCCCAGATGCCATTAGCTGCATTCACCACAATGGGAAGAAACTGTGCCTTAGCACAATGTTCTGCCCACCTGGAACTACTGGGGACACAGGGTTCTGGCCAACCACGGAACAGCAGCGAGGGCTCATGTGTCCTGCAGGAGAGCCATTCCAGAGCTGCTGAAAGGCACCCCCTGCTACTGCTCTCCTCCATTAACCAGGGTGGAGCTGTAATTAGTCAGAGCGCCAGGGCTCCCAAAGAGGCCTGGGGCAGCGGGTGCTGGGGCCGACAGCTGGGCTCTGTAAAGGAAGCTGAGCCTGGCTCTGCTCTGGGTCCCCGCAGGACACAGTGATCTCCATCTTAGGACTCCGGAGCCAGAAGTGGGAGGTCAGCCTCCAGAGACAATGCTTGGGGCTGAAGTTAATCACAGCCTGCAGCCACCAAGTACCCCGTAGTGCTCAACGGTGGAAACAATTCACAGGGACCTGGTTTGTCCCCCGCAGTCATCAATGTTCCTCCCAGGGTCCCTGCCAAAGTGGGCACGGCCCTGCTGGGGAGGGACATGAGGATGGACTAGTCTCTGCACTGATCTTGGCGGGCAGTGCACGGAGGGCCAGGGCTGCTGGGCCCACTGCCTGAATCCCCTCTGAGACCTCCCTGGGCCTCCATGTCCTTGACTGAAAGTGCCTGGGACCCATCTAGGCGTGTTCCTCAGTTACTCTGATCCTAAGCATCGTGGAACTTCCTGGGACACCTGCCTTGGAGCTGTGTGCTGAGGACCAGGCTTTACAAAGGAGGGTGAGCCCCAGATCCTGATTCAGAGTGGAGGCAGAGTAGGTGGGCATCAGTCAAGGCAGTGCTGCTCCAGGACCACTGAGCAGGGAGAAGTGAGGGACTGATGATGTCCCTGGACTTCTCAGGGCCCGTGTGTCTCCTTGTCATGGGATCGCTGTTGCCGACCTGACAGGGCAGCTGTGAGAATTAAGGGGGGTAACGTATGGAGGGGGCTCAGCACTGTGGCTGGCAAGCAGCAAAGGCCACTTTCTAAGATGGAATGGCTGCAGAGGCTCTGGGGGTGGTGGTCACTGGCCTGAGCTCTGTAGGAAGGCCTGATTCAGAGCCAGGGGGAGAGGGGCCAGCTCAGATGTAAGGGCAGGTGAAAGGCTTCTTCAGGAGCCACGAAGCAGCCCCCCTGCCTGGGGCGGACACATCTGGGAGACCGCAGCAGATCAGGTGCCCCTCGGCCCGAAGGAAGGTCCTGAAAGCCAGGCTGGGGGGGCTGGGACTTCATTCCCAAGGCAAAGCAGGGGAGGAGGATTAATCCAGCAAGAAGATTTAGGATGATCTGGCAAAAAAGACTACAAGGAGTGAAACCATCAGAAGGCTCATAAAACAGACCAGACGAGAGATGCTGAGGACTTGGCTAAGGCTGACGGCGAGAGGAACAGGAAATAGGTGCCATATCACCAAGGACCTGTGGGCACACCCTGTATGGCT